CCCCCCCCTCATAACAAATCCTGTATTCGCCCCTGCACAAGACAGAAAGGAATGTACGATTGCAAAAATTATATCGCCCTCTTGTGCTCGGAATGCTGGTTTCTGAGTTACGTTGTTTGAGGGCGCCTTATAGTCATCGGCAAAGCGCACTACCATGGAGGTAATATAAGAACCTCCATGGTACTACCCTCTGTGTGGGTTCTGGTTACCACGTAACCAAGCACACAGCAGAGCTTCTATATATTCAGGGTGACTAGCAATGTACAAATGAGTGCTACCAGAGAGTATTATATAGACCGGTTCATACACGGATGCAAGAGACGCGTTCAAATAAATTATATAATAAATTATTTTGATTACGCATAGTTTATCTGCAATTTACGCTCCGTAATTTTAAGCGACGCTTGCCCCCTTCCCCGCCCGCCCCAATACATTTTGCTGGATCCGCCACTGATAATACGTGTGTGTATGTGTGTACGATGTTCCGTTACTGGATGTCCTTCAGTCTTTCAACATTATCCGCCGTGATAACGTAGGTGGCGACACACTGGCAGTTAGCTTGGTCAACTTTCGATGTAATCTTGTTCGGAATAATGGTCTCTCAATGCCTTCACATACTACGCACGGGCTTAGACAGTTCAACCGGCACTCCTAAACACACCTTTCCTGGAGCTTGGTTCAACACGAACGTGTAACACAACAGTTACATCGAAAAATCATGCAACAGTATGCACACTGGCGTCCAACTAAGCCCGGTTAACGGCCTCCTGCAGAGCTGAAGTTCAATCAGATCGCGTGCCGGATGCACATGATCGCGGGTACTATCCAATCAGAGTTCTTCTCCAAAAAAAAAAAAAAAAAAACCTCTACATCTCGATTTTTAAGGAGCATTACATGCATACCCTTTCAACTAGCTCATCTTAAAAATCGGAACTGATGGATTAACAAAGTTTACACATAATTGTAAGGTTGACATGTTTGTTTCCAATAAATACTTGATTTTATATTTAAACTTTACGTATTACGTATATGAATGAATGAATGAATGAATGAATGAATGAATGAATGAATGAATGAATGAATGAATGAATGAATGAATGAATGAATGAATGAATGAATGAATGAATGAATGAATGAATGACGAAGAAAATTTTTAGTCTGCACCTTCGTAGGCACCATCAAATCAAATCTTTCGCCATATTTTTTTTATTATAAAACATGGAAGGTACCTTCATTGATAGAGAGCATGTGCCCTGGGATCCAGCTTCAAGGTATAGTTTTGATTACTCGTCCCGGTTACTAATATACATTTGTACAGTGACTTACCATCCAATAATATAGCGCCCTCAGACTGCGCGTCCTGAAGTATATGTCGGGTCTACTAAAATAATTCTTGATACATATACAAACGCAACATCAACCGATAGAATTGTAGGGAAGAAATTCATTTAGAAATGTAATAAGAATAAAGATAATATAACTGTGTATTTCATCAAGGTATGAATTTTTTTTTATATAAATATTTATAAATCTTATATTTCATTATAGTTAAAAACTACTGAACCAATCATAACGTGTTTAAGATGACAGAAGAAACTCAGGGAAATCCGAGTTACCAAATGGATTCTATAACGAAGATTTTTTTTTTTTTTTAATGAAATGGGAAGATGGGACAAATGTGTTATAACTATTTTATAAATGTATATAAAACAAATTCTGATACCTCTATAACATGCACAAAATCGCATGCTGATTGTATTTATTTAAAAAAAATATTTTTTTCTAAGTTGGATATTGGTCTCTAAAAAAAAAGAACTGCAGATTTAAAAAAAAAAATATTGGCCGTCTTCCTAGTCAAAGTCTTTGAAATGACAAATATTTAAGGGGTCATTCGTCAACTTAGAACATGATGATTAACAGTGGGCTCAATTTTCACAGACTGTTCTCATATGATATAATTCACCATCAATGACGCCTGTGTACTATCACAGTCCCTATGGTACTACTAGTATGTATATGTATCCATTGCCCGAATCGCATGGTTTCGCGAACTATATGTGAACCAACGCCGTCACGAAGTCGTGCGTCATTCTAGCAAGAACCGTGTCTTATTTGGCTTCGGAAAACACATAGACTTAGAGGGCCTGTAAAAGATACACCCAATTGAAATTGGTGTTGCATATGTCAATGGACATGAAACAAAATGGCGGGATATTCGAATTGCCAACTTGAGATCGGACTTCTATACACACTCGCTGATATGCACAAATAAGTTGGTAGTGGTGAGGCGATGATCGATCGAAGATGCGGTTTCTCGTGCTTTAGCAAATTAAAAGAAAAAAAACACGACACATACATTTTGTAATTTATGTTCACAAACATCGCCACCTAGTGTCGATACTGAAACCAAGTAGTATGCCCTCTAAAATAAGTTCGTTATGCAGCACATTTTTGTAGTGGTACATGTCTTCTCCCTGTCACTGAACTCAGTTATATTAACACTATGGAAAAATACTCGAGTGGTTGTGTATGTGAAACGACAATCCGTCATTTTTCAGCTTGAATATATACAAGTACAAAATAAACTTTGAAAACAATATATATAATAAGATTTAAGGTTATGAGAAAGCAAAACAACAATATTCTATTCTACATATGAGTGTACAAACACGTAGTTGCCGTAGCAACTCTGCAAATTGTTGTTATTATGCATTGTGTGTCATCAGCGGGTTCACGTAAACTGCGACCACGTGACCGCTTCTCGTGATTCCTACCGTCGCGCAAAATAAATACTGTAACTACGCACCACGCCTTCTATGGCAACTCATGATCATTCGAACGTATACACAATAAACGTCTAGCTATTTTGAAAAGTTACTTAGGACAACAATTGCCAAATATTATCTATTATATGTGGCATGCTCAGTAGTGCAAAATTTGATTTCGCGCCGTCAACGATTCTGTTTTAACCAAATTTGTACAAAGCCACGACATATTTCATGGAATTCGTGGTACTATAATTCGAACGTTTACCCACGGTTACGAGAAGAACAATTCTTCTAGTAACCGTGATTTACCTGAAAACATGTGCGCATACGTCAGATGGCCATAGCGTGTCATTGTTTACAAACACTGCAAGCGTTCAGCCATGAGCCTTTGCATTTTAGCATGCGTTGTTATCGTCGCTTGGGACTCAATTCCCGCGCGTGCGCAGGTGACGCGTCCTGTTCGATGTGGGACTCATAGCGACGTATACAACGCGTGCAAAATACATTGTTTATTTACATGAAATTCGAACACGCGCTGCACGACGACCACCGCGCTTTAAAATAGCGCCATGAAATCACGTTTAATATAGTACACTTACATCGCTAATCACAACACATGTTATCGGGGCTTTGGGTGATCCTCTGCTGACATCCACTGATAACACTGCTAAAAAAACATCGTTAGAATATATAAACATGTTAAACATATATTTGTTACATCCATGGTCACCCTAATCCTACAGCTAATTGCACTAATGGGTTGAAAGGACGACTGGAACATTGCAAAAAGTCGAAACAATGTTTTTTCTTTGATCAAATGGTTTTGCAACCGTTCCAAAACAGGAGTATCCCTATGTTATAGTAATGCTATTAGCATGGAGCTAAAACACATAGCTGCGAGCACGGCCCCTTTTTAATAGGGGAACTGTGTTCCTACACCACAGTCCCTCTATAGAGGGGATGTAACTACACACAACACGGAGCTCTATGTACACAATGTGTGAAATTGTATCGTATCTTCTTATCAGGGGATCTCCGTTTAAGCGCAAATCTTACGACAAATCAGTAACTGAATTAAAATTACATTAAAAACAAAAGACAGATTAATAATGTAAACAGTGTTTACAATGGGTTTTGTGATGAAACCCCAGGCATCAACAGAATACGTCACATTGTGACCGACCTCTTGTAATAGTTGTACAACATGTCCTGTGTTTCGAAGACTGTAATATGTTTCTCGTCTATTGAGCTTCCAGATTGAAGTCGCCAAAACAAATCACAATGTCCTCAATGAATTTGTTTCAATGTTTCTGCAACCCTTTAGAATGTTTTTCTTCTCAGAAGTGTAGACAAGTGTTTTACAACTGGCTGATGTAATGGAGGCCACTTGAAACAATAAATCACTTTGCGGCATCCTTATTCTTAGCTCACTAATCCCCTTGCCTTCAATTAGAACATTGTTCTGCTTTCCGTGATCTATGCCACTTCGGGCCTTTGTATTGTTACAACGGTTCCCGACTGAAGTGATTAATCTGCACGAGTGACTAGCCACAGAATACAGTACTAGCTCATGCCACTACTCGTTAGAAAAAAACAAAAAACAACAAAAACAACTCCGTCGAGTTTGCAGATATCACCTTGCGATAGCGTTTACAATCTGAGCATGGAGCTAAAAAAAGCTCCATGATCTGAGTAAGGAGTGATATATTTTTGAAGGATTAAAATTTGGCCCATGTTTACAAAGTAGTATTGACGCGCACCACGTGATGTGTGGTCTGGGTATAAACCCCGGGGATCGCAGAATAAAACAAAAAAAAGAATTATTCGTATACAAGCAGCTTACTAAACAATTGACTCGCATCCTGGGGCCATGTTTCATGACCAGCGTCTGAGCACGGGACAATGGGAATTTAGGCAAGCGTGAGTAGATCAGTGGCGTTACAGCTAGTAACTTAGAAAAAGGGTAAACCGTGGACGATGAACGGGGCTCACTTGTGAATGAGATTACTCGGTCATCTATTATATGTGCAGCCACTTAACAGCCAAGTCACAATACGATTTGTCATAATTTACATCACAATGAAGAAGGTGTGATGATTGATGTGTTTTGCTGCTTTATCAAGCAGTTGACAGCGTTGGAAGGGTACGTGGTGACTGGCATTCCAAATTAATTTGTATATTGGGCCAACACACGGCAACCAATCAACTGTGTCCAACGCCAACTGACAGGATGATCAAATAACCTCAATAGGTTTCACTCGCTTGGCCGGCCAGTTGCTGTACGCTGTCTCTTCCCGTTTGTGCGGATAATACTACCACTGAAATGCCCAATGACACAATCACTGGCTACTCTACGTCCATCACATCGCTGCCCCACTGACCAATATTGGAATCCAAATCCAGGATCACGTCGCTGTTAATTTAACTCGCTCAGACGATTTGTCTATGTGACGGTTTAGGGAAGAGGACTGTATAAAATCAGCCGACCAGACGAACAGCCAGCTAGCTAGCTAAGCCAGCCAGCCAGCCAGCCAGCCAGCCAGCCAGCCGAGCCGAGTCGGAAGTTTGTTGTTCTGTGTGTGGTGTTGAACTGACTGCAGTGTTGTATCATGAGATATTTATGGCTGTACATTTCGTGTGTAACAATAGCAGGGGTAATAGCCAATCCATTGTTTGGGAGCCGGGTAAGTATGAGTTGATAATGTCTACCCTCCCTTTTTTTAGATCGCCGAGTCAGCGAAGAGGTCGATTATTATTGTGTTATTTAGTTTGTGTTTTTATGTATACTTCCATGTGTCAACCGGCCAACAGTTAGCCGAGCTTATGTTTGTGGATGGCGGGTTGCATTATAAATGCAACAGTTCATACAAGTCGAATTCTTTGGTAGTCTTGTAAACTTTGCGACTATGTTAGACATCACGCTGTAGGTGTCCACTTTATACGGCTCAAGTGCTTTTGATGGAGCGCGACCAAACCTCTCGATATTATTACCAGCACATTTTTCACCATTCGGAACTGTAAACAGACTATGGAAAATACCTTGCTAGGCGTTATATTTTGTGAAAAAAATGGTTCAATATTGCAAGGCCCAGTCGACAGCATGGACTCAGAGAATCCCAACCGAAGCGATGTTTATTTGCAGTGAAAAGATGGGAGTATAGCTTGCAAATAAGCGGCGCAATTATATCAATAAACGGCTTTTCCTACTATAAACGAACCACTTTACAATCAGCGCAGCAGTTTGCATTCTTTCCCTTTTGTATGTTGCATACTGTGGTATAGCATCTCAATTAAGGGCCCACCACCGCAAGCAAGATTCGGGACTAAAAGTTTACCTCACAATACATGCATTATTCAACACGGTCGGTGCAACAAGGACGACTGTCCGACACAAAAACACACAACTACACTGGCTACACGCGGTCCTGCAAACGCAGCTGCTCGGCAAGTCCTTGTTTTGTTCGTAGGCATTCGATCCACCATTCCCGTGGTTTGTTTTGTAAATATGCAGTGTTCCTCGATTTACACAGAGTGGAGGATCTACTTCAGTCGATTCTTAAGGAGAGCAACTGTCTGGCTATACCGATGCATATAAATGTCACTCATTCGTCTTCTTTCAATGGCAACCGCCAACCACCCCACTATTAAGGAATTCTATACGAAATTCACACCTGTTTTGTCAGCCCAGCGCAGTCAAACGCTATTGACCTGGCCACTCAGTCACTCACAGGCTCACTGGGTTGATTGTCGAGTTGTGTGAGTTAAACGTGTTCTTCCTTTTAACACAGTTCACACTAACATCAAATAAATTGATACGGGTCGAGAATAGGAAGGTAATCGACCTGCATGTAAACTGTTGTCGACAAACTGAACATCGTACAAACTGAACTGTGATTTAAGTTAAGCCAGTATGACTCGATCGTCTACTCTATTGCCAGTATATGTATTCGTAGCCACCGCCGACAAGATACAAGTCGCGACACTGTTCAACTATGTCCCTATTTATGTTTGAAATACTGGGTATATTTATTATTATATTGTACGAAAAGCATAAACACAGAGTATTGCATTACAGCACAAATACTAATTTATCGCAAGCAATTACGGTCGCTGTTATAGCGCCCGTGCGTACTACCCAGTACGAGCCCCTTAATATAAACCCTTCTCCGTCCGAGTTCTTCTGACGCTTTACGGCCTTTAATAACTCTATGTACCGTTGAGTAAAGCACCAATCACGGACAGTAGCCAATCCGGTTATTTTGCAAGTTGCAAGTCACAGTCTGTCCTTCGTTACGTTTAAAACGACTTTGTCGTGTCTATTTCCACGTATCCCGTAACACGTGCCCTTTGGTCTTATTCGTCGTATCCATAAACAACCCGAATCTGGCACATCCTGTTATTCCCATTCGCATTATTTAAAAGACAACAAAAAACAACCAGTTATTTAGTATGAACATTGTTAGATCGTATAAAAAAGAGTCTCGGGGCAAATGCGTTCGCCTTGGAACAAATAGTAAAATTTAATGTTCTGTTGAAATACCTATGCATAACGGCAGAGTGTAGCTGCGACCATGGTATAGACGGTATAATCTACTAGTATATATATATCATTAACCAATATATTAGGTAAATATACTTATTTAGCATATGTGTCACCATTGGCTAATTATCCAATGAGATGTCATGATACCGAATGTACCCGTCCGGCCTACGTTCAGCAGAGGCGATATATTAATTTTATGACCTTGCTAACTTCAGATGTGAAAATATACAGCTAACTTCAGAAAAATTCACCAAACTAATTTACCGCAGACAAATTTTGTACAGAAAATGGGGCGAAATTCATCAAGTAGGCACACAAAACGTGTAATTTTTACAGAATCTGTGATAATGGATTGCAAAAAAAAATCATATTTACGCCCCCCCCCCAAAAAAAGCTATTCTGCGAGCTTAAATATATTGTACCTATAGGGGAAACCACGTTAGGGCATCAGACCAGAGAGTATGCGTTGCCATGTAGAACACGCTTCTGACGATTTTGTTTATATTTAAAACGTAATTGTTATTGGTATCATTGATATTTCATAGAAAATTTGCAGCACAGCTTACTATATATATAATATCATTTTTGGTATAATTGACAGTTTTTTTTAATTACCGCGAAGGAAAACGTTTGTTCATATTAAATTTTCCAAATTTCAAGTTAGCCGTCAGTTTATGTCTTATTTTTTTTAGGTTACACGCGTTTATACACTTTTTGTATTTATTAAATAAAATAGTTATCGGAAGGTGATCTAAAAGTTCGTATAATATCGTATTTATTAGGACGGTATATATACATGTACCGGTATATCAATTGATATATGGGCATGTATCACCAGATTTATACAAGATTCACATGTGAAAACACGTGTTACGTAGTCTTCTTGACCAGCATTGAAGATTACGTTCAAGCGAAAACACTCGAACCCTCGCTGGTAAATAGCTTTTTTGACGAACAAACGTGTAAATTTCACAAAATCAGCGGTGCTAGCAAACACGAGTCGCGCAGTCCGTCAATTTCCATATATATCACTATGGTACAATAACTATCCTGCTAACGGATTGCCATACGCTTGAACTCGTACGTCACTCTTCAACAACGGTAGGAGAACAACAGACCCAGTAACTAGTAGATCTTATATTGCAATAGTAATAGTAAAATCTAATACAGGACAACTATGTACCTAAAACAAATGAGACGTATATATATTGCACAGCTTTAGTAAAGTGTATAGATATTCGAAGCATTTTCCTGTCACAATGTTTGAACTAACTTCGACTTAACATGCGTAGATAAATGGATAGATTTATTTATTAATTATCAATTAATTATCACCCATCAGTTTCCCATTGGCAATGATGATGATCGCAGCGATGAGTGCAATGAAGACTGTTCTACGGTAGTGCAGAGGGCGGTATGTGGAAGCGATGGACGCACTTACGGCTCAAGATGCGAACTGATGCGAGCCAGATGTCGGGGCAGTACAGCTGAAATACAACATAAAGGAGTCTGCCAAGGTAACACATGCATTTACAATACAAATCTATCACTAGAATAATGTGTCGGATCACTATCATTGCTCAGTCGCACATGTGTTTCTAATAACCATGGCAACGATGTCCAATACGGTTACACCATGCCTTTATTTTCGCAATTTAAAATGAACGCTTCTATGCTTTAATCGAATTGATGCCACCAAACTTGTATTATCCTAACTGTTTTGTATAGAGTCGTCGAGGTGTGAGGCTGAAAGAAAATACAACCAAGAACAGGCAAACCAGGGTCGCCAGGCGGGTCTGTTCATACCAGAGTGCACCGAGGAGGGCAGTTTTAGGGAGGTCCAATGCTATGCATCCACCGGTTACTGTTGGTGTGTGACTGACCAAGGGAAGCCCATACCGGGGTCATCTGTGCGTTACCAACAACCGCATTGTAACGCAGACGACAGTAAGTTAGTACGTTATTTAAAAACGAAGAGTAAACATCAGGATACTAACGTGTTAAAGCACATTACTAACTATACTAAGCAAACTTCACGATTTGGGCGCTGTTCCGTTGAAAAATAAGTGCGCTTGTTTTGTTATATACCTATCCAGTAGGTTATGTCCCCCACAAATAAAGTCTGTGTTTATTGGCAATGTACTGTACTGTGCTGTACTGTGACTAGTGTTGTTCTGCTTTATTAGGCCGACCAAACAGTAGACAGGGAAAGTCTGCACACAGGAATAAAGGTAAAAAAAAAGAAAGCCTGCAAAACGTCATTGTACTTTTTCTCTCTCCGCTTATACTGCAATAGTTCCATGCATTCTCACGTGTTTTTTTGTTTTTTTTTGCTACCCGGTTTCATTCATCGCCTGCCGCTTTTACCGCTGCGCGTGTTTGTGTGAAGAATGTGTGCACCTGAGTGTGTTGGTTAGCAGCAGTGTTATGGTCACCATGCATGCTACCATCACAACTCCCAATGAACGCTTTATAACCTTGAGCAGAGACGGTAGTTTGCTTGCAATATTTACTATCAATACTAATCAAAGCTAGTTGCCCGAATGCAGGTGCACAGGCTATATTTAGCTGGCTGGCTGGCTTGCCTTGGATACTCACGTAAAATGACGTCATTGTATTCAATTTAAACACTAATAATGCTGCATCTTTTAGCATTAATATTAATAATACTTACATTATTATAGCAATAATAAATGGTAACTGTGTTTTTTTTAGTCTGCAGTGAATGCACACCTGGCGATATGAATCGAGATACAAGTCCCATATAATTACATGAGTGAACGTTGTTCGGTTATTGGTTACTTTCCCGAATCCATTTAACATGCACGCACAAAAAAAAACGTATTCATATTCCTTTCCACCTTAAGTTGTTACTTTCGTATTTGATTATTTTCTGCTATAATAACTCTCTGTGGTTTCCACTCTTTATTTACAGGTTGTAGCCAGTCGGAGAGACAAGTCTTCAACAACAACCTAATATCCATATTCAAAGACGAATACGCAAGACTGCCAACGAAACCACCAGCGGCAAATGACGAAGAGTACGAAGGAAACCCGAGCCTGCAGGCACTGTCGGCAATCGACGAACACGTGGATTCGGTAAACCAAAATGTTATAGACTGGAAATTTTCCGAACTTGATACGAACGCTGACAGCGAACTCGATAAAAAAGAGTTGAAAACCATCACTAAAATGATTAAAAAAATCGTCGAGCCTCGAACTTGCGCTCGAAATTTTGCCAAGTATTGCGACTTGGACCAAGATGGCAGCATCACGAACGGTGAATGGGCGGTGTGCCTAGGGGTGGATAACAGTAAGTCATTTATGTACCTCCGTCTAAGCTTGTACTTGACCGACCGCCATTTTATCATTTGTAGACGAGTTTTTGTTCATCCACCGTTGTTGCTCTCTCTTTCTTCTCTGTTCTTTTCATGTGGTTCTTTACACGGGATTCCACTAAGGCGGAGATAAGTATGTTACAGATAACATATAAATAAATTAGACACAACGGCGTTTGCGTTTCATTCAAATCCAAATAATATGTTGTGATTGGCTGAAACACAAGTTTCTCGGTATACATGTTCACAACCAGATGTACTGGACGTAGACGTTGTACAACCTTAAAAAACCTTGAAACATACAATATCCGATGCCGACATGATTTGTTTTAAATTTGATCATACAAACCACAGTCCCTCTATCGAGGAAATGTGTACAAACCAATGACGTCAATCACACACTTATTCTGATTGGTTCGATTCGGGCATTAATGTCAAACATCTATAAACCGATATACCTTGCTTGAGTGGATTCGCCTGTAAAATTAGCCAACGCGAGTGACATCACTCATAATTAACTATGCTATACTAGCATATGATACAGAAGATGAAACAGAGAGTAGTAGTTTGTCCTTTGATCCAACCCGACCCAACCCCTTTTTTACCCCCCTCTTACCGCGGATTTTGTCTAAAACACAAACTTTTCCTGTACGTATTAACGTGTTCATCTAATACTGATTTATGTAGATTTGTTTTTCTCCCAAAAGTATCATAGATTCAACAGATAACGCTACCTCCTCTCTATTACATATATATATATGTGTGTGTTAATTTTTCTCAGTATTTGTCACGTGACCCAATCAATGCATGTATCAAGGTATGTCTCATCTTAACCTTCTTCATAACTAATACCTGTATATCAATCAATCAAATAAATAAATAAATCGATTAGTTAACTTGAACTTGAATTTTACATGGTTAATCAATGTTTGCAAGACGAGGATGTCCGTGCAAATCGACTACGCCCGATTTTAATTTAAAGAAAAAAAACACCTTCCCGTCTTCACTATATCCTTTATAAATTAGATATAACAAAGATAGGGAGGGAACCCCGTGGCTCTTCATCGTGAAAAAAAACTCTCTTACCATTTCAAGTTTTTTTTTAGATGAAGAGCCATGTTCTTTTGTGCCGGGCAAGTGCAAGAGTATTTCGTAGGTTTAGGCTTCATATTCGGTTTGGTTACCTTTGTAAATGTAGTCTCGTTTCGATTATTCCTTTCTCTTAACGCAGAGGGAGTGATCACAGAACCACAACCCGTGCCCAGTGAAATTCCCCCGGAAATAGGTGAGTATTTTTTACTGCATTATTCATGCATTACTGATATATCGTAAAATAACGTATACCTGTTTTCTTGGTCGCCCATAACAATGATAACATGCGTTTTTTATCTGTTATTAATCAGTAAAAAAACATAGCACGTTTTCGAACAGTTGTGTGCGTGATCGAACATTTCTAATTTGTGTATAGAATGACAAACGTCACACCGTGAACATATCACAGTAACTATATCATATCTTTTTAACCTATGTAGAGGAACCAGAGACGAAACCAGAGCGTATCAGCGATGAGCCTACTCTTGTTGATCGGCAAACTCCACAAGTTCCGCTTATTCCGATCAAAGGTGAGTACAGGATGATTTTATAGGTGATACCTTTCACGCAGACCCACTCGCATTCACCTCGTCCCGTTAACATAAACTGATGTAGACATATGCTCCTGTCGGTCGCCCGGTGTACATCGCCTGGTCACCAAGAACGTATCCTGTCCTTATCAGTCAAGTCTAATGTGAAATGTATTCAATTTGTAATTCAGTTAGTCTGTAGCCCACTTTTTATTCCCCGTTTCAGGTGCAGACTGAAAAGGGGAGTATAGTTTCTTATTTCGGGTTTCCATCTGTGACGTTTCCATTACATCTCTACATCCATTAAATTTTTAGTGGGTCATTTTAATGATTTTCATCCAAAATTACCTCTCCCGTCAACAACTGAGCATGCTCAGAATAAATAATTCGCTTAGATTGTAATGCTAGGGTTTTCAGTGATGTCATGATCTTGATCTGAATCAGTGACAAAAATGGAAGACAGTCTGGTTTTTGTTTGGTTTTATGAAAAATTAACGCTGAAATCTTGAAAAAAGTGGTCAGAAATGTTGTTGTATATTATATCTTTAAACTGTAAAAATTGCATTCCATTATAAAGGGCCATCACTGAAATACCAGGTCACGAAGTTGAATATCAGTGAAAACACTTTACAGTTACTGTTTATAAATCTTGGCCAGGCACATTGACACATGTGGTCTAAATATAGCCTCAGTTGTCAGGGCTCGTGGATAAATGGGTCGTATCATTACGAATCTCAGTGGAAACTGTAGAGGGGTGTCAGGGCTACATTTTGATGGAAATTATAGTGGTGGTACTGAAACAAACCCAGGTCCTGGTAATATACAAAGCCCTGAATTAACAAAGAAGTCAAGTTGTTATTAAAGTTACATCAAGGTTTACTCGGATTTATGAATGCAGTTTCTTGAGCATGTATACATGTATGAGACACAGTTTGGTTGCACTTGTGTACTCTGAGATTTTGGACATGGGTCAATGGAAGTTTTCAGTTATCAATACAATACTAGATTAAGGGAAACCACTTTATGATGAGTTGTACCCACATAGAGTACATATTAATTCAACTGTTTGCAGATGTTCCATGTATTATTTTAACATGAGTATTTTATAATTAAATTACGGGGACTGTGTGACATTCATGTCTTGTTAAATTTGATAACCAGAAAATATTATTTCCGTATTACTATTATTGGTATTTTTGTTATTACAGAGCATTCTTGTCAGATCGACAGACAAGTGGCTTTAGCAGAAGCTGAAACCGCACCGGACGCCGATATTTTTATACCTGAGTGCACGTCGGACGGTAAATTCCGGGCGGCACAATGTCACGCTGCGACGCAATATTGTTGGTGCGTACTGGTCGATACGGGGCGGCCAATACCAGGAACGTCGACCCAATATGAAATGCCGGAGTGTGGGACCAGCAACACGCCGAAAGTACCGGACAGGGATATGAAAGGTAGGTTGTCTCCTACTGCCATGATGGAATGGCCGTTCTATGTTGCTGCAAAACCAAATAAACCACATGCTTCACCTCCCAGCACCGATGTCGCACAGATGGACCTCATACACTTGAAGAGAAAACTGCTACGTAAGCTATCCATCGTACTTAGTCGTTATGTAAAAAGGGCAATGTGGGCAACATAAAGAGGGGATTATGATTTATCATAACCCGAAATTGTTCAATCTTCGTATTTCTTAGGCTTTGATTATAGTTCCATGCTTTGATCAAGGCCCACGTATTTACGCACTTAATACTGAATTAGCGGTATGTATATGTAATTCAAAACGGCCGTTCTTATACATGTACCCAGTTCATTATTTCGAGAGAAAAATATAATTTACTATATCAACATGCGCCAATGAAGATGAATAATTATTTGCCGTTTTATTTAAATACAGTTATATAATAAAGACTATTGGTGAGCTTATCCAATCAATTAGTTCTAAGCCGCACCACAAGTACAACACTCGATCAAACCTATTAGAATAACAGTTTTAGGAAATTTCAAGAGAACGTGCAGGACGGATACTGGTTGAGATATTATTTCAAATTGTGGGACGAATATTGGCAGAATTTCATTCCCCTTAGGTTTTGGTTGAATCACGTTTCCGGCTTACTAGCATTACAAGACTTCAACCATGACCAAAGTTATCTTCCTGAAGAATGTAGCTGGAAATTTCTATACTGTGGTTCCGTACCGCCGACAAGCGACACATGCAACCAAATATATACGAATATTTTCAGCCATATCATTTTAAAAGGTCTTTTACTCCCCACTAAATAATATGGTTAAGTGTGTGTCACATGACTCCAAGTCTCTTGCGACATTGAAAGATTACAAGTAATTGTCTGTGCTGAACCACGTATCTTAGAATACGTCACGGTATGGTTGAATAAGGCAGATGAAGTGGTGTGTTATTGAACAGTGCATTGTATCAACTAGCGATTAAGCATGTTGTATCATTGACATTATCCTAAAACTGTGCGTATTACCCGGGCTTAATTCTTAAAAAAAACTTGGATGGCGACTGTCGTGTACCTATTCCGAGTTGTCATGACAACAGCTCTAGTATCTTATGTTACCTACCTATCTACCTACCTACCAAAATTACCTATCCATATACCTACCTGCTCACCTACCTAACACCCAACCAAAACAAACCCAACTATAACAGTCCAAACCCATGCCACCAATCCCCAAAACATACCTACCTACCACACACCCAAAAAATACACATACACCCACCCACCCACCTACCTGTCTGCCTACAATACACACACCCACCAATCATCCTACGCACGCACGCAACTCCGATCCATCCAAACCATTCTCCCCTTACATCCAACCCACCCTCTTACCTCTCACATTCACGCGCACAAGCGCAACAACACACACGTATCGAGGACAGAGCATGGCGGGATAGAGGATTTGAACGGAGATGTAATACGAGTAAAAAAAAGTCTTGGCATGTGCTGCGAATGTCCTTTGACCCAGCACCACTAAGTAGTTTCAGGTTGGGTTTGTAGGTATAGCCTTGTTATCGTAACCCCAGCTATTTGTTGTCAGATGGGGGATCTGTAGTCAGTCACATTCCGCGCATTTCCCTCGCAGCTTGAAATCAAATTCCCCCTTCCAGCTACCGTATAAATATTTACGATGTTGGAGAGAGAGAGAGAGAGAGAGAGAGGCACAGGTGCTTTCATAATCCATGTACAAGACCCTGGGCCGGAAACACCGTCACCTTAAAAATTTCTGTTGGCATGGTGATGACACTGATCTCCGCGCAGCTTTACGAGCCGTGTAAAAACATCTTGAAGTTTGTTGAGTTGGGAGTTGTCATAACGCGCCGGAGACGACGATATCTCTTGTCTTCCGGGCTTGTCTCGCTAAACCATTAACTATATGATTCAAATGATATCTCTGTACACGATTATTCTGAGTTGGGGATCTGTTTTGTGTGTGTGCCTTTTTTTAATAAGAAACAGTGATTACTATAAAGTGCCGGGTGTCATGTTTTCTGCATTCTTGCGTTATCGACAAGGAGGAATAAAAAAAAACGTATCGCTCATGTGATATTTACGTCACTTAAAAACGTCTTACACGTGTGCGTACTTTAAAAAAATCAGGCGGTATCCTAGCGGGGCTTGAGCAGTTCCCGACTACTCGTAGTACAACAAGACCTTTGTCTGACTACCACATGTCGGAGTATTCGCATAATTCAAATGTGACCACTATTGCCCTCACTGAACGCTCGTTTATAGCACGTCGTTTATGTCAGTTATAATTAAAACGTACACCATTGACGCTGTAATGTGTAAATATTGTTCATCACTTGGGGGATATATAGTTGTCTGCATATTGATATTAAATAACATTCAAGTTGGTGTTTATTTATGCGGTATTTTGACGGCGTTTCTCACATGGAAAATGTTTACAGTCATTCGTGTGAGCCGCAGATATTTAGCCGATGCCCCACGTCAACGAGTTCTTCAAGTTCTTTGTCAGTCTGAACCGTCCTTGTTCTTGGAAATGTCACGGTCGTGTGTCGCACGGGCACGTTTTTTTTTATCAAGTTTATTAAAAACTCGGTATTTTTTAGCAATCTGTTTACGCTTTAGGAGTTTCAAAGGTTGGGGCAGTGTGCCAAAGTTCTGGGTTCCCTTGAGATTTGAAATGGATTCCTCGAAACATATTAGACGCGCTAGAATATCGTCGATACCCGAAGGCTGACAGATAGAACTGAACTATTCGTAAAACGCGAGTTGACGACATAAATTGCTTTAATAGGTGTCTGGCTTGCCATCGCGTTGATTTATATATTGACATTGCGATAAGCGATGGGCACAGGTGTGAATACACAATTGCGAATAACTGAACATCGTTATAATAACGAGGCCGACTGGTGGAGGGGGGGGGTAATCTTTAGAGAGAGACTGACAATACATTGAAATAAATACCTATTTAACACATGGATATAAATAGCCCGGTCTAAACTTAAACAGTAATGCGATTATAGTCTCTTCTGACCGCCCAATGTGGAGTCTAGGGGTGATAGTTTTTCATTGATAAAGAGATGTTTAAAAAATGATTCGTATTTATTTAGTCTTCTAGTCATTCAAGCTGTGATTACGTGGCGTCAACTACGGCATGTCATGCTGGAGACATATTCCCCCTTTCCCGAGTCACATATTGCAGTTAGACGGGGAAAGCGTGCTCTATGGCAGATATCAATTACATGCTTCTTTCGTTTGTGTTTCAACTTATTGTTATTTTTACTCAGGATGTCCCACGGACAAGAAAGAACGTTTTCTCACAAGCCTTTTTGACAAACTGACGACGGACATGGTAGAGAATATGAACGCCCAGGAAGGGTAAGCGGACAATGAATAATTTAAAATTGCAAATAACACTTCCCGTGGTTACACGATTGGACAACTCTTGGCTCAGTGGAACTCACCATAAGCCGTGCCGAAATAGTATGAAACTGGTTTGAACTTGTGTCTGAACTAGAGTGGGTATTGTTCAACACAAAATCCACGGTGTTTTCTCAGGATGCGATACTCACTGAAAATATTTATCTATTCACGCGACCACACAAAATGTCTCTCAGTTCAGCACTCCATATTGCGATTTTTTCAATGTCTCTCTATTTACAGCGCCACGGAACCAGACCCGAACGACTCTCTTAAAGAAAGTACAGCCAAGTGGAAATTCCGGCAATTGGATCTAAACGGGAACGACTTGATTGACAGGAAAGAATCGGCCAAGTTTAAAAAGGAAATCAAGTCGCTCAAACCCAAGAAATGTGCGCGAAGTTTTTCACGTTACTGCGATGCCGACGAGGACAGAAAAATCACACTGACAGAGTGGTTGGACTGTTACGGCCTAAATAAGGGTAAGATCCAATAAATAATTACTCCACATGGTTACTTACATGTTACCTAGCAACGGTTCATTCTCATGTATTTCATCTCTTATTTCAGATGAGGAAACAACTACAAGTAGCAAAAGACGGGGTCCCAACCCTTTTAGTAAGTATGCATAGTAACTCATGCAAAACCTTTTTTGTGTGATGTCCAATACCTCCCTGCAATAATTTTCATTTTTAGTTTTTAAAAAAAATGCATAATTTTTATGAAGCAAAACACTTGTGGTTTACATTTTTCTTTATTTTTGTTTTTCCTCTTCTTTTATTACATCAAATCTTTGTACCATGGTTACAGTACAGTGGTTGAATCCAGGTCAGTACTGTAGATCAGTACTAGCATCACCATGGTAACACCGCATGTATCCTTTGCATGTTCTTCTGAGGAATTGTTAATTCACTTGTATGTAATGTTTCACCATCCTTCCTCTAGCTGTGACGTGTCACTGGTGTCCCCCATGTGATTGACAATGGTGTGCCCTGATATACAATATAGTGTTGTGAAGCAATACACGTAGTAATAAATACTGTAAGGGTCTGTGCCATTGTGAGGGAGGGAGGGTGCAGAAAGTATTTTAACACATAATTACATAAGGCTTTAGTTGATGCTAAGATGCTGCGTAATATTGTTGTTTCTAACATTACTACCTCCCCTCAACAGTATTAATGGCTATATCCTTTACTGACACTGGAGGTCAACTTAATATATTCATTTTAAAAACCAAAATAGTTTTGCATGGATGACTTTTTGTATCATGCTACAAATCAAGTGCACTGTACTGAAACAAATTACTTCTTTGATAAAGAATAAATACAAAAGAACTCCATTCTTAAAATGGTTTTGATATTATTCAAATAAAAACATTTTACTACAATCAATAGCTGACTTCAACTGCTTTTTTTTTTTTTTTTTTTTAATTTCAACATTATTTCTGTTTGATTTCAGTTGAGCGACTGACTTAACTCTCTGGTACTCTGGTGTTGAGGGCGATGTACATACCTGGATATATTTGGAGCCTTTTTATAAAATAATGATCACTTATGTATTGTGTGTTGTACTTTCTGTTGATTTTAAATCATGTAAACTATTGTTAATGATAAGTGATGTAGAGGAAAGTGAAGTGCGCCCTCTACCCCAAGAATGTGCTTTTTTCTTGTCTTTATTAGATACAGTTCTTCAGGGTGGGCGGAGCTCGCTAGTAGTTTTTGTGGCGAGTTTTATTACTTAAAGTGGAATTTTTAACCAGTTTATTGCCCCTCCCCCCCCATCCTAAATGATCTAATTAATTATTTGGTGTAATACTAGGCATAATCACAAAACGTTGTTCTCACTGCCTTTACCCTACCTCAGTTAACCCACCATTCAGTTAAGTGAATTTTGCCAATCTGATGTGAACATTACAAGATATTTTATTATTCAACATTGATATGTGAAAATAGATGACAATCAGCCAGTTGTATATGAAAAATAGATCTTATTAATCTTTCTTATTGTATAAGAAACAACATTTTTGTTTTTTTATTTCTGTTTTTTAAATCAGTGCAAGCTTTTCTCTAAAAGATTTTTTTTATTTCAGCATTTATGTTATGCTTATGAATCCGAAACATTCGCTTATATAATAAATTTTATCAGTTTAACAACCTACATTTTTTTTTCTATTCCTTTTTTCTCTCTCATTAAGTGAAAGATCTGTTCATTTTCCCACCCCTTGACTATGAACTCTGATAGGATAATTGGTGGTATGAGACCTTTGTTTAAACAAAATCCAGAATGAGAGAAATTTTTGATTTTGATGCATTTATAGCAATGAAATGTTGACATTTGGCTATCCTGAATTGAATTGTGAAACTTGTGCATGCATGTCACATGATGTATGTTGATTAATATGGAATTCATTGGTACAGCATTCTTTAAAATAACATAGTTAAGCTCTGGTTACCCTGCCCTTTGTTAGTATTCCTTGAAAGTGTAATACATTTTGTCACTCATACAATTTTACACTTCATTTTACCATTGGCAAAATCATGTGATAAACAAACTTTGAAAGATGCAGCAATGTTTTGAATAAGAAAAATAACAAGCAGCCTGTCGGCTGAGATAGCTTCGCTGTTGCACATTTCAATTAAAGAACTGAAGATATCATTAGAAAATGAACAATATCTATATCCCACTGACTTGCTGTTTTCAACAAGAATTCAAAAATATTACTTTTTACCAAAATTATTCATCAAAATTAGATAATTGAAGATATCATTACAAAATTAACAAATCTGAGAGAGGTCCACATGTAGTACCTATAGGGATGTGTAATATCAAAATGTCACACGTAACGTAATATTATGTGATGGTTCAAATACCAAAATGGCAACAGTAACATAAAGACTTCCCTGGCGGCGATGATAACATACGAACACGGAGCCAACAGATGAGGTTTCAACTGGTACTGGTATTATTATACTCTGCAAACATCAAGTACAATAACGCGGTAAAAC